GTCGGGGACTCGGACCGCGACCCCCCTGTTCACTTGCGGGACCCCATATGGGGTCGCGACCCACACTTTAAGAAGCACTGCTCTAGAGAATACAATCTTCTAAAGAAGCTACAACAAAGGACGAGCTTCATATTCGATTGAGTCATGTCTGACAAAGTACTCTTGTCTGTCAGTTTAATTAAAGTCATTCTACATCAAAGGACAGGTATATCTTTTCTATTAGAGTAATCACACACAGTCTCAGGTAGAAAAATGCACTTCGGGGGTAAAGTTATACAGAAGGCAAAGTGACATTCACCGGACATTCTCTGTAGGCATATCTTCCTGGTGCATGTGTTTTAAAGGAGAACTATGAAGTGAGTGAAAATCAATGTGTGACAATGAAACTGTCACAGGTCGGCTCAATAGATCGGGAAGTGAGCGAACACATACTGTCACTCGCTCACTTCTCGATCATGTCCCTGCAGAGAGCCGTGACTGTCACTCACAGCTTCCTGCAGGGATTCCCACCTCCCCTGTCCGATCCTCCAGCACTGACTGGCGGAACGGATGGGGGAGGGGGCGGGTACAGCTGGCTCTGCCTCTAGATAGGCAGAGCCAGCTGTCAATCATGCAGCTGGATGGATCGACAGTAATGTCGGGATCCGTCCCGGCTGCGGCGGTCTCAGTATAAATCAGTCACGGGAGGACACTAGTTTGTGTCCTCCCATGACCCTGGGGAGAACTATGGGGAAAAGTTCAAATCACAGTGTGATTGATTTATCTGCAGTGAATATTTGGTCAATGCGTCACATTCACTGCTTTAAAAATAAACCCTATATTTGTTAGTTTGTATTGTTATTTATTTCTTAAAAATGTGATCATAAAGATGTTGTTGGGTATTTACATTCTGTTATCCAGGTAGAATCTAAAGGATACTGCGTTTCCTTATGCTGCTGTATATACAGTATATGTGGTTAGGAAGGAACATGACGCCGTGACTTGTTGCTATGGATACATTCTTGTACTGGGCGATCTTTAGATTTATCTTTAAAGGGTCCCCGCTTTGAGTTTTAGATATGTGTTGGGTTTGGGTATTTTTCTGTCCCTTGTGATCTTGTACTGGACAGGAAGTTCAGGAAAGCTGAGCTGAGGGAGTTGGAGTCAGCTGTTTAGAAACATGATGGTTATAATGGCTTGGAAAGAAAAAAAACGTAAAGAAATACTTAGCTGGGCAATGTATACTAGGTATGTCCAGATTCATTATTAGAAGAAAGAAAAAGCTTGAGAGTTTAATACAACTTAAACTGCTGAAATAAGGTATTAGTTAAACAGGGAGTGCATTGTTTTCAATGAGCCGGCAGACTCATTGACTTTCATTGTGAGAAGAAGCAATAAAACATAACCACTGTGTAGCACTGCAAAGCAGATCATGGGGCCTGTGTATACAATGAGTAAATATGGTCACTGTACATATATATTACAAAATAAACACCTATTAATAAGACTATTTACAAAACGCTAATGTATGTCTTTACAACCATTGAAAAGACTATGGAGTCTATTTATCAAAGTTTCCACCCAAAACGTAATTGGAGAAATGTGTGAATCTTGGGTGAAAACATTGATAAAAATAGACCCTTTTGTGTTCTTTTTAAACAGCTTTGTGTAGAATACATTGTGCACTAGGAATGAAAAAAGTATTCTTCTGAAAACCTTCAGGCATACAAGATTCTGTTTTTAATAAAAAATTCTGCGCTCTTGGAGAAATAAAGCTAAGATGTTTTAATTGCTAATCCTAAAGCTGCTATGAAAATGGTGAATAACATTCTGTACCTGTCCAAACTGCCTGTGTATTTACAATAGCAGTATAATGGTACTGTGCCCTAGTGGAAACCAAGGGTACACCAAGTATAAGTTACAGATATTTCTGCTACATAAATTCAGGACTGAGGCTCTGGAAGCCCAGCCACTGACAGCAACATCCCAGCTCACAAATGCATTAAGGGGTGTATTTATAAAAAAGGATGCAGAGCCATTTGTCCTATGAAACTTACATTTACATTAATTCCGTGTGAAAAGGGCAAAATTGAATGTTTTCTTAAACAGAACGAATGTAATTGTTGGAAAATACCGCATTATAGCCACTAGATGGAGCTGAGGAGCATAATAAATTAATAAAAATGAGTGCCAGAGTTACTAGAATTATAATAAGTAATTTCAGTGCTAAAAAAAAAGAAAAGCTGTCTGCATCCCTTTCAACGTGGATTAGCTTTAGAAAGTATTTTCTCCAATTGAAACGCCTGTTGCAGGGGATGCCTTTAATTATGACTATATATGCATGTGGAATAAAGTTTGAATTTATTTGGAAGATCATCGTGCGCTGGTTCCACAGTTTTTGAGCCTTTAATTAGGCTCTGCAGATTTATGTAATAAGCAGCAAGCCTTTTATTGAAGCTGGAAAAAAGAGTTTGCTGATGGAGTTCTGCATACATACAGAACACCCCGTGTTAAAATATTGCCAGGAAGCAGCATGAATTTTTTGACAATTTTAGTAATTAACAATAGCTGCAGACCAAAATGGAAAGGTATGTTTTATAATAATGACAAAATGGCTTTTATATGGCTATACTGAACGCCAAAACAGATCGATATCAGAATAATAACAACAGGCGTATATACATAAATCACCTCCTAACTGCCCTGAATTATAAAACTTCAGAGGGGTGAATATAAATGTGTCGGTCTTGTCCTTGCTGTCAGAAGGGTTTGCTGTATAGCTCAGCAAGCAATATGTATATGCAGGGCAGATAACTGAAATCTGCCCCCCAAAGCAGAAGAGGTTGAGAGAAAGATGTATAATGTTAATAGTGGAACTCCAGGCAAGTAATAAATATTTAAAGCATTTGAAAATACTGCCAATATAAATGCCTGATAGCTCTCTTTAGATTAGCTCCCTGTACCTTTTTGCTCAGCACAACCCAAATGGAAAGTGAAGGCCAGCAGTGTGAGTTGGTTAGGCTTAGGTCCCTTTCACATGAGCGTCATCAGTTCAGTCAGGGTTCACGGGTACAAAAAAAACTGATTAAAATGTAATCAGTATACGCATCCTTTTGTCAATTCAGTTTACATCTGTTTTTTACATGTCCATTTTGGATTTTTTGTTATTATAGTATAGTAAATTCCCATGATTCTTTGCTTTCCCCAAGCATGCACTGAGCGTGCCATGCTGTATTAAAACTTCAGTCTCAAAAAACGGATGTAACCTGAACTGATGTAAACTGATCATCAGGTTACATCAGTCCTGGTCAGTCAAAATGGTAAATGTAAATGTAAACTGAACTGACAATGGATGTGCAAACTGATGTAAACGGACTCAGTTTTCATCAGTTTTTTTGTATCCGTGAACCTTGACTGAACTGAAGAGAATCTAATATTCATGGAACCGTCTCCTTGTTGGAATCTTTGTCTCCATGGTGTTGTGGTTGGTAAATAAATAACAAGGTGGTTGGGAGATAAATACTTGAAGAAGGACTCAGCTCTATGAAGATCATTTTTGGAGATATATTATTTTGGGTCCGAGGTATTTTTGGGGTCCGCTGAAATCTTCTAAGCAGGCCCTTATAGTTCATTTTAATTGGCACACATCATACGAGATCTCTGCATGTGTGATGTTACGTGGGAGGCGAAAATCAAATCTACAGAGGTATTTTTTTAGCTATTATTTTAAACTTTGACATTTTAATCTTGTCCTAAAACATAGGTAATGTAAATGAAAGCCTAAGCCCTCATTCACACCATGTTTCATGCACTATTACACCTATGTTTAGGGAATTCCCTGTTGGATTTTGTACATATTTAAATTTACAGGATCTGTGAATGGCAACTCCCATCTGACACTGTGGTAGAGGCACTCGTAGATCTCAATGCAGCACCAGTTTGCAGCTCTCACATGCTGTTTTTTGTTTTTGTTCAGACTGATGACCAACTTCTGACTTTGAAGGCTTACTGTCATCTACTCTTTTGTGAGTATTATGCTATCTTTTGCTATTGCTCAATAAAAATAATCTACACCAGGGAAGGCGCCCCCTATTTTTGCTTGTTTCAATTTGGAAGTGGCGTTCATTGCACATCTGGGCCGATCTTTGACATCCCCCCCCAAAAAAATGATTTGCAGTAATAAAGTAGCAAGCCCAATGGTGGGTGTGGCCAAATTGTGCTACAAAGATTTATGGGAATGTACCATACTATAATAACAAAAGGCCCAAAAAACAGATGGTAACGGATTCAGTTTTCATCAGTTTTTTTTGTATCCGTGAACCTTGACTGAACTAATAACGCTCGTGTGAAAGGGTCCCTTAAAGGAATGCGCCTTTAGGGGGGAAGAACATAGCACAAAGATGACCATCAGGGGTGCTTCTGCTTCTTCACTGTCCTGTTAGCATGCTGGAGTTAGAGCAGTAACCAAAAAAGCCAGAACTTCAGGAGGGAGGGGAGGATGCTTGCAACTATGAGAATAAGCTCAGCTGAGGAAAATAAAACCTAAGACTTTAATTTTTACAGTTTACTGTGTAAAGAAACTTATATTTATAATGCAAGCTTCTGAATTGCTCTGCCTGGTTATGTGTCTCTGTATTATATATCTGGTCAGAATACCTTCTAGGGTTTTGGCTAAGGTTGGGATGTGTATTTCTATAAACCAGCAATGCAAGGTGGATTAGCCCATAACCACATACACATACTTGGCTGGCCCATAAATCTGGATGTGGTGGGGAGATAGGGGGTAGAGCTATATTGTGGGCTCAAACATATTGCAGAGTAACTGAAGTGCAACTGCGAGGGTATAGAAGCAGTTTAAAAAAAGAAAGCAAGTTTACGGTTAGCTGCTGCTGTATGCACACCTTTCCTTGTTGTGTGACATGGCAATGACAACAATTAAAATAAATGAAAAACATAGCAAATGGCTGTAGAAATATACTCTGCCATACCAATGAGTACAACAGATTTGGGTTGATTCTTACCAGTTTCAGCATCCATGGGCTACCACGACAAGTGGCAAAACATCCAAAAAGTCCGAAGACAATGATTGTAGTGCCAGTTCCGATGAGTACATAGGGAGCATTGGTGGAGTTCTCAGCAATGAGAGAGATATATGTCCCTAATGTGAGCTTTCCCCACACTCCAACAGCTAGAAGAATAACTCCAGTAATCTGTAATACAAGAAAATAGGAGCATGGGTTAGAGAGGAACTGTACATGCTTCTGGACAAACAGAAATGAAAATATATACATACATTCTTAAAAAGGTTTATCTTTTGAAACTGGGCCAAAATGATACACATAACATGGAACTAACTAGCAGCATCTTTCAGCTGTTATTTTTACCATCAGGTATTTTCATATAAAAGAAGCCAATACCAATAAAAAAAAAATCACCACCTGTTATTTTAAGATCATTTGCATAAAGAGATTCCCTTGTTTCTATCTCTCTGAGACAACCTGGTCATTTGCCCCTCCATCACATTCACAGCACAGGTCCTTCAACATTCCCATTCCCATTCCAAAAGGTACAGAATGTTTTGGGCTTCTCTTAACCTTTCTAATTTAAAATGCCTGACAGTTAAACTCTTTGTAAGCGTTCATTATGAAGATTCAGATCTCTGAAAGTTCAGTTCCTTGCAAGAGTTCATTGACAGAAAATGTAATTACATGACAGCTAAACACATTGAGAGAGGTTCAGAAGAAGAATATTTTGTATTACATTTAGTGCGTCATGTTGTAGACACCTCTGCTACATTGTCTTCATAAAGTGGCATCAGCATCTGAAATGTAATAACAAAGTGACGCTAAACCCAAGAGTTAAATCGTAAAAATGCATTCAAGTACCTTAACTATTAACAAAAATGGAGCTAATTTGTGTATCACTCAGCTGTAGATGCTCAAATCATCTCCGAATTGGTGCTGACACTGTTCTTCCTTCTAGAGGGTGGCTACTTTTTTTTCCACCTTAGTTCCCATGTGTGTAGTAAAGTAGCCACCACTCTAAGCTCGTTCCCGTGATACAGTACAATCTCAATACACATTAGTAAACGTAAACGTATCATGGTCGACCTTGGAGCGGTGGCTACTTTGCAACACACACAGATACATAATAGAGAACAAAAGTAGCCACCCTCCAGAAGGAAGGACAGTGTCAGCACCAATTCAGAGATGATTTGAGGATCTACAGTTGAGTGATACTCAAATAAGATACATTTTTGTTAATAGTTAAGGTAATTGAATGCATTTTTAAGGTTTAACTTCTGAGTTTAGTGTCAATTTAAAGCATACCTCTCAACCTTCTGAGATGGGAAAGAGGGACACCTTACAGCACAATGGGGGAATTTATCAAAACTGGAGTAGACAGAATCTAGAGCAGATGCCCATAGTAAACAATCAGCTTCTATTTTCAGTTTGTTGAATATGAAAGATAGAAGCAGATTGGTTGCCATGGACAACTGCTTCAGATTCTATCTGCTCCAGCTTTGATAATATTCCCTCTATGTATTTAGGCGATGTACACACCCCTGCCATGCCTACAGTTATGAGGACCATTAAGATTGTGTATGGCAAAAATTATTGGCTAAACCCAGAATTGTTGTTTTCCACCATTACTTTTCTTTATATTGCCTTTTCAAAATAGCAAACAAGATAATTAAGAGATAAGATGATGATTTTAGTGGAGAATAACACTTTCAGTAGTTAAATAGAACCTTTTCTTAAATATTTGTACATCAGACCAAAAAGGTGGACAACTGAGGAGGACGTAGGAACAGAGGATTTGGTTAAAAAAAGAGGAACCGTCTCCGTTCAGACCTAGGCATCAGCATTTTCACACATATAGTGCACGTTTTAAAACATGCCATCTAGTGTGTTTAGCATGTTTTTATGCATTTTGACGTGCATACATAAAGGCATGTTTTATTGAGCAAATCAAAATGCAATGTGGTGAATAAGCAAACATGCGCACCAACGCACACAGAAATGTGCAAAACACTTCCATTGAAGTTTATGCGGCCAAATGCTGTAATCTGCCTGAAAGAAGCTCATGTACCTTTCCCAGCATTCACCATTTTACAGCTTGCGACAAAACTCAGGTGTGATCAGATTCCATAGATATGAATGGGATTTCTTGTGTTGAGAGTGAACTAGGGACTTAGGGATATGCTGAAAGTGAACTTGATCTGGTCTAAAAACACTAAACCGTGCATGACAGGGGTGGGGTTAAATGTCACCTAGGCCTCAAGTACAGCCTGGGTCCAGAATCTAAATGGGTTCCAAAAGGATCAATGTAACACAGGCTCTTCAGCATTGCTGTTATCTAAATGTTTTCGGTCACATCAGGTTCACATTAATAGCAGTCCTACAAGTGTCTGTTAAGGTTCTCATTCATCCAGGTCATAGTATATACTATATCTGTAAAAAATAAGTCAAGGCAACTGGACTTGCTGTATTTTTCTTGAAGATGTTTCACTGGTCATCCAACCAGCTTTTTTAAGTCAGAATTGAGAAAGCTGATCGGATGTCCAGTGAAACGTCTTCAAGAAAAATACGGTCCAGTTGCCTTGACTTATTTTTCACAGATAGCCCTACAAGTATTATTTTAAAGAAAAACATGTGTATTTCAACATTTGCAGTCAAACTGAGATAACACCTATTTTATGTTTGTAACTAGTTCTCATTCACACAGCATAAATGCTGCTTACATATGCTCTAGCCTGAAAGAAAAAAAAAATCTAATTTGAATTTTAGAATGGAATGCAGGGGGTGGGGAGGTTAATGTTTACCATAATTAACCCTGTCTGTACTGTGTTGGCAGATCTCATTATCATTTATAAAAACTAGATTTGAACAAGGTCTGTCCTAACAAAGGATTAAATGTTAATGAGAGGGAGCTCAGTCTGTCCTAGTCTTTCTATGGGACAGCCAGTTTCTTGTCACTTTGAAATTGTAGACAGAAGCTTGCAGCCTGTCCAAAGACCTTCTTAACAGAGACAGCTAACATGTAATAAATATTTTTTAATTATTTTTGGTATGATGTGTGCATAGGAAAACATAACAAACATATAGTGGTGTTTTCTCCAATTCGTCTATGTTCACTTCTCGATCATGTCCCTGCAGAGAGCCGTGACTGTCACTCACGCTCCCTGCAAGGATCCAACGCTGACTGGCGGAACAGACGGGGAAGGGGCGGGTACAGCTGGCTCTGCCTCTAGATAGGCAGAGCCCGCTGTCAATCACGCAGCTGGGTGGATCTCGACAGTAATGTCGGGATCCGTCCCGGCTGCGGCGGTCTCAGTATATCGCGGGCTGTAGCTTGCGGTATACTGAGCTTTGGGTCACGGGAGAACGCTAAACCCTTAGGAGAACTAGTTCTCCTTTAAGGCAATGAACTCTTTTTCCATGTGCAATATTATCCCTAAACACCTCTGCCACATCATGATTTTGTCAACAGGTTTCCTGAGCAGTTTTAATTAATACAACATTTTGTAACAGCCTTCATAGTGAATTTCCACAATCACATGATCAGAAAACTGAAGACACTAACAAACCTAACAACCTAGGTGTGGTCGGACTGGTTGGCAGAAAATTCCTAGCTGCCCTGGACACAGCACAAGAACCATCTATACATGAACTAATTAAAAGGTTAAACATCGTGTTCTGGAAAATAACCTCAAAACTTGCTAATAATAGTAGCTGGAAATGGCTCTTTTCACAGCTTCATAAACAGAGACCTAATGGAGCATAAACAAACATTATTACTCCATTGAACAATACTAAAAAGGGTGTTGAAAGTCACATGGCCTCACGTGCTGCATGCCAGAGGGGCGAGGGGACAAGAAAATGATATAGGCGGGTTTATACGAGCATTGCTTTGGATTTTCACTGTAGCCCTACCTGAAAGACAGCTTTATAAAAAATGCAAAAACAAGAAAAACAACAACATTCTATGCTTTAGACATACAACACTGATTCCAGATGAACAATACAGACTATACCTGATGGCTTTTTAGCACTTTAGTTATTATGCAACTGTATATTTTCATGTAGGCAGCTCATATATAGACTTATTAGACTTCTCTCTATTACCTGCATACCTATACATAGAGTTTAAGGAACCAATTTACATCTGGGAGGTGTGTTGACGTGCATTATAGCAGCCTATTAATTTGCATGCACTATTTTTATTTTTAGCAACGCACACAACAATGCCTGGTAGTGTATTACCGTGCCATCCAGGGCACAAATCACAGCAATTGCATTGCAATAAGGAGACTTAAACATGAAAGTTAATGCAACACATGGTAGCGCGCTAGGGCTGCAACTAAGGATTATTGTCATCATCGATTAGTTGGCCGATATTTTCTTCGATTAATCAGATTAAAAATGTTTTCATAAAAACCATCCTTAATTTAAAATGAAATACACAAATGCAGTGTTACAAAGTTTACTTCAGAATACAACTGCATTGCGGTACCGTGCATTGCAATGCGGGCGATCACACTGTTGGTGGGAGGCGCGTTTGGGGTGTCATTGAAATGAATGGCACAGCAATGCACCTCCCGCAGCATAATTTGTCAGGCCGAAATGACTTTTCCCACCTTTTATCATTTTTTTCTAATAGCATTGTAAGCACATGGCGTTTAAATAGCTTCAGCCAAGGAATGACAGCTGCCAATGGCAAGATTCCGCATACGGCAGCTGAATGTAAATACAGCAGGTTAGTGGGCTGGTGCAATAGCCAGCCTGCTATTGGCCATTTCAAATTGCAATAGCCGATAGCAGGCTGGCTATTGCACCCGTCCACTGCTTGCTGTGCCCTCCACCCAGCATGGACAAGAGAGCTAGGGGATCCAACCAACTAAATCGATAATGAGAATAGTTGACAACAATTCTCATTATCAAATATTATCAAATAGTTGGTTGCAGCCCTATAGCGCACATTACATGCAGTGGTGAACTGGGGTGCAATTAATTGTAACTGGCACCCCAATGCACCTCCAAAGACAAACGTTTGCCTAAATGTGCCACAAAAGGAATTGGCTGCAACACACCTGAACAAATGCAAAAATAAATGCTGCTTGCATATTTCCATAGAGCAACATATAGGACACCCTGCGTTGTTCTGTGGGAAAATGCAGACTGCACTTATTATGAGTGTGTTGAGATGC